ACGTATGTCAATTGTTGCTAACAGCGGCTTCTTCCCTTTGATTTTTTCTTACTATCTATCCATTTCCTTTCTAACGAAAATATTCGTTGATTATGTAGCTCATCGTTCCTCTTCTTTGATCGTTTCTCTTCTTTGATTGTTTCTCTCACCTTCTCCGCTCTCAATGCAATAAATCGATAATGTTTCGAAAAAAAGATGATATGTTGATACTCTACTTATTATCATCATGAAATAGAAGAGTATCATTCATTTTAAACAAAATAAACGCACACGATCAATCAGCATATGTATAGCAACTTTTAGATTACTCTCTTGTTAAATAATTTAGCTGCTTCTCGTTTCTTTTAATCTAAACTGTCTTTTCTTGTCTAGAAAAATATTTATTTCAATAAAATTTGTTGATGTAGTATATGTAGCCTTTTGTATTCTATCTAATCAGTTGACATCCCCTATGTGTATATAGTTTTTGTTATATCTCTATGAAGCACAATCTAAAAGTTGCTATACATATGCTGATTGATCGTGTGCATTTATTTTGTTTAAAATGAATGATACTCTTCTATTTCATGATGATAATAAGTAGAGTATCAACATATCATCTTTTTTTCGAAACCTCATCGATTTATTGCATTGAGAGCGGAGAAGGTGAGAGAAACAATCAAAGAAGAGAAACGACCAAAGAAGAGGAACGATGAGCTACATAATCAACGAATATTTTCGTTAGAAAGGAAATGGATAGATAGTAAGAAAAAATCAAAGGGAAGAAGCCGCTGTTAGCAACAATTGACATACGTTGATGCTTATTTTCATTGGTTGGAGGCTTATAAGCGAAATGGGAATAAGGCTCATTACATGATATTCTCCGGAAAATGTTAGCCTTGAGAAATGCCATAGATAAAAATGTCAATTCTTGTTAGACATGTGTTGTTTTATAGTAATGAAACTAGATCCAATTACTAACAGTTTGACCAATGTATGATGAAAATTAGTGTTGTGTTTTAGTATTGTCAAAAACATAGACAAGACCGACTTGAAGCTTTATATATACATATATCTTTTTATTGAAGATAATTTGTTTTTGTGGTATTAAAATGAAATGTTTGATTAAAATAAATGTGCTCTTTTTTTGTATCAATTTAAATCGTTTTGTTTTTATTAATGTATCCTGTTTTTGTCAAGTCTTTTTATAATATTAGCTGAATTTTAGTAATTTTACTAGTGGTTTTTAAATATAATATTAATCTTTTTGTCAAATCAGAAGATTTTCAGAGATTTGTTTCATTTCTCATCAGATTCATTCTATGACATTATATGTTCTGATGTCACTATGAAATCAACGGAAAACAAATGTAACTGCGACTATCAGATATATTTATGCAGATTAGAGTAAAGTGTATGGTTATCGTTCATGGTAAATAGTCAACATAGAGAAAGTATAGCAGGATGAGGAATGTTTATTACTTGTGGAACTAAAACAATGATTGACTACATCTTACATCTATTATTTATTTATCAAGGTCATATTTTAATTGTGAGTTTCTACGGTTTCTTATTTTTCAGTCGTCGGGAGACCTGGCCAAGTTCCCAGGAGTCGGGAACTCAATGGGAATTCATTGGGAATTGGGAACTCAAACGGTGTGGGACGTTACCGTTACGTTCCTAGGTAATTGGTAACGGTTTGGTAACAGTCTCACGTCCGCAGCCGCGAACCCTAGGGTCCTCAAGTCCCATTTTTGAAAAAGAAATTTTTTTTCAAAAACACCCACACCGTTTGAGTTCCCAATTCCCAATGAATTCCCATTGAGTTCCCGACTCCTGGGAACTTGGCCAGTGCTGTTTATTTTGTTTGTTTATAGAATTCATTATCATGCACACAAGAGAATTTGTTTGTTTCTTATCAAGTTTATGTTTATTGTTATTTCTTGGATAATGAAAATAGATTCATATTTTATTTGGTTGATAAACAGTTATTCCTGCTTTTATTTATTGTTTTCTTGTGTGACTGTATAGATTAGTCATGGTATTGATTTCACTAAAGTTTTAAAACGTAATAATGCTGGAAGATGATTTGCTATAACACCATTTCTCGCTGAATTCGTATGAATTACAGTTGAATGTTTTTTCTGATGTTGGGGATATTGAATGATTGGTTGAAATGAAAATTTAGAGCAAAATAGTCATCTGTATTATTCTATAATTGAAATTTTTCCGAGCAGCGGGACATGGGGACATAGAGCGATTGGTCGAAACGAATTTTAGAATGGCTGAGTCATTAAATAAAAAAAGTCAACATTAATTATCTTATGACTCATGCTATAATGTTAGCTTGTTCATTGATTCCAAAGTCAACTGAATTCTCAAGTCAACTGTGGCATGTATTCATGAAAAAGTAAGTTTACATTAAAAGAAAAGAATCCATCAGAATCATACTACTGTTTGAAATTTTAGTGCAACCAAAAAATGATTTAAATGTTAGAGGGTGAAATCGCATCGTTTTTTACTGTGCTTGAAATCTATGTTTGTCAACGTTTAGCATGGATACATGCATCACAATACATCATGAGTATGATATGTATACAGACAAACAAAATCGAACTATTTTTTGAACATCATCATTACATTGTCAACAATATTCATGATATAGTACTTGATAATTTCATAAACTTCACGAAAAACAAAATGTAGAATTCAAATAAAGTTTTATTTGGTTTTACCACTTTGAATGACGAGATCCGATGTCTCTGAGAAAATGTGAAATTTCCAGCGCCCTCTGAGATGCAAGATTTGTTATTTATGCAAGGAGTCACTTCTCATTGTCACAGCTAGTTACTCACTCAACCTTTTTTTTGTCATTTTTTCTTTGTTTCTTTTACTCGTCATTGGTAGCTGTGTCATTATTATTTTATCTGAAGTCTGCTATCTTCGTCTCGCACGTACGAGCGCTGAGTCATTCACACACAACATAGAGTATAAAAACAGCAATTTTTTTTCGCATTACTTCATTCATTCTTGCTAAACATATATTTATTTATTCTCATTCTCTACTTGCTATTAACCAATAACAATGCAAATCTTTGTAAAAACTCTTACTGGTAAAACAATTACACTCGAAGTCGAACCAAGCGACACCATTGATAACGTCAAAGCTAAAATTCAAGACAAAGAAGGTATTCCACCTGATCAACAACGCCTCATCTTTGCTGGTAAACAACTTGAAGATGGTCGCACATTAAGTGATTACAATATTCAAAAAGAAAGCACCCTTCACCTTGTACTTCGTTTACGTGGTGGTATGCAAATATTCGTAAAAACTCTTACTGGTAAAACAATTACACTTGAAGTCGAACCAAGTGATACCATCGAAAATGTTAAAGCAAAAATCCAAGACAAAGAAGGTATTCCGCCTGATCAACAACGTCTCATTTTTGCCGGCAAACAACTTGAAGATGGTCGCACGTTAAGTGATTATAACATTCAAAAAGAAAGTACACTCCATCTCGTACTTCGCTTACGTGGTGGTGATGACTAATAAATGATGTTTTTAGGGTAATCAGGTCATTAGATTGTTTTGAATCTTTTTATTTTGAATATTCACCCAGTTCAGTAATTTTGATTTCTTTGCTCAATAATAAATGTACCGAATACTGACATATGAATCTTGATTTTATTTATGAATGAAAAAAACAAAAGTTTATTATTAAACTTGGTAGATATCAAGTTGCTTCATAACAAAAATGCTCTACTAATTAGTTTTATTATTATGAATTGTTGAAAAGTATGTTCAAATTTCCAAAAAGAGTAAATTTTTAAATTTATGAAAATTTCGGATACAGCTAGGGATCTATGAAAGAAAGAGACACATTAGAAAATTTTTTAAAACACTAATAAGAAATTTTAGAATGAATTATGAAATAATCAAAGCACTACGAAGTTATTCCTATCTACTTCCATCTGAAAGAGAAGATCGTATCGTCTGAAATATTAGTAATTACTGGGAAATTTTAGTAAATCCAGGAATTATGAAGTATTTTTCGTATGCACATGTCGATGTTCTTCATTATTGAGAAGAAGACACTGTTTTTTTCAAGCGTAGGTGATTTATTTATCGAAAATATCTAAATGGTAATAGCTGTATCTAATGAAGTTTACTGGCAGTTTTACAGTAATTACTGAAATTCAGTTTAAACTTTGCTTGAAATTTTTGTTATTGAGAATTATTTATGATCGAAATTATCTCGAAGTTGTTCAATGATGCATGAGGAGCTTCAGAAATTTCCTAGAAATTTTCTTGTGATGTAAGATAAACACCGAAAGCATGGGAGTGCATAAGAACCAATTTTGATCCACTTAATTTACTAGACTTTGTAGCACTTGCGCTGACTACACTTACCATGTGTAAATTTTGTCGTGACATCTTAAATTAGAAGCACCTGTACTCATTACAAGTTTGACTGTCGTCATAAAATTTCTTCTTGTTGTGAGCTAAGAGGGCAGATACTTCTTCTCAGATGTAGTCACAAGCCAATGGAATCATTCATAGTGTGATGAATGGAGCATGATTTGAGCTACATTTTGGTACCAAAACAAGAAATAAATGATATTTCATTGAGCTGAGAATGGACGAAGAAGAACTTTTGAGCAGTCTTAATCGATGGTTTTGTGGTCAATAGTCGATTTTGGGAGCCTGATATCTCAGAAAATAAAAATGAACACATCGTTAGCGTTGATCTATATGTACTTCAAATTGTTCGAACAACTTATATTTTCGTCAAAAAAATCATTCCTGATCCTTCTCTCAGGGTTCAACAGAAATAAGAAATTCAAATCAAAATCTCCACTAGTCGACGATCTTGTCATCGTTCTTTCCAGATTCTTATTTTTCTTGGTTATCAGTCAAGATTCTTTTTACATTCCTTCTTTACAAGATTCTTGCCTGAAAAAACAGATCTGGACCTTCTAGTGATATTCTTGTAGACAGAATCTTGTCTGGTGAGGCAAGAAATGCTTCACCAGGCAAGATTCTTGTGTTCTTATATTCTGGGCTGATTCTTTTTTTCTTGCAATTCTTGCATGACTCTTGTTTTCTTGAATTCTTGCCTGAATCTTTTTCTTGATATTCCTGATTGATTCTTGTAATACAAAGTATGCCTGTTTTGTCACCAATATGATTATCTCCCTTCACTGTTATTATATTTTTATTATAATTTTCATATAAAATACACAAAAAAGTAGACGATAAGTAATAAAAAACATGCATGAATTTCATATAAAGAGGAAAAGGTTATACAAAATAATGGGAAAACGAGCAGCAAAAAGCTGTATTTCAAAGTTCGATGTCGTCGTCATCATCTTCGTCGTTATTCAATAATGATGATGGCGGAACTGTTGTTGAAGTTCCTCGTTTTGATGAAGTGATGAATGATCTAATCGAGGAATTCTTCTTGTTGACGTCGAGCTTCAACTTTTGTAGATAGTTCTTGATTGCCTGTCTGCAAAGACAGATGCAACATACAATTGATGAATTCGAACAATAAAACCTGAAAATTTAGATTTGAAATACTAAATTGATCATTGAGTTTTTTAATTAATCATACCCAAAAGAAGAGCAAATTCTCCTGCAGCCAAATCATTGAATGATGCTGTTTCAGCGTATGCAGCACAAACTAAACATCGAGCTATCGCATTCAATGAAGACCCACGTGAGATATGACCTAAATTGATTCCATTTAATTCCTAAAAAAAAAAGAGCTTGATAAAAGTTGAACAAATTCTTTTCATAGTCAAAGATAGTGTAATATCGTTAATGTTGTGTATTAAATTCTTCTCTCTGCATACAATGGAAAAACATAATCGATAGATATGTCTTTTCAATACGTACGGTTATCTTGAAAAGTTACTTATTCAAAGTGTCGTGAAAACTGACATCACTTATATAATTATAAATAATATAAGTATAATGGTCACACGTCTATATATATAGTATTTAAACAAAGAGATCACATGCTATTGATCTTGAAGATCAGATAAGAATCTTTTAAAAGGAAAAGAAAAGAAAAGAAACTTGTCTGAACTTCAAGAAATTTAAAATATCCTGTAGTTCTTTCCAGATTCTTTTCATCTTGAACTTCAGCCAAGATTCCTTCTGAAAGAAAAGGAAAAGATTCTTGTCTGAACTTTAAAAAATCTTGAATATCTTATCACTCTTGCTCGGTTCTTTTACTTCTGAATAAACAGACAAGATTCTTTTCATCTCGAACTTCTGGTAAGAATCTTTTTTCTTTCCTCTCCAAAGGAATCATGCCTGAACATCATGATTAAAAAGAATCTTGTCTGATAACCGAGGAAATCAAGAATCTGGAAAGAACGATGGCAAGATCGTCGACTAGTGTCAAATCACGTTGTGGTTGACTTGATTTTTGGTGGAATTTTGAGGGAGACCAAGGTTTAATTTTTCGACGAAATCAAAAGTTGTTGAGACAATTTAAAATGCATATTGATCAACTCTAGCGATATGTTTTTTGTTATTTTCTGAGATATCAGGCTTTCATGATCGACTAGTAACCGTAAATTCATCGATTAGGGCTGCTAAAACATTCTCAAAAACCATTTATTTCATGTTGTGATACTAAAATTCAGCTCAATTGATGCTCTATTAATCACACTAGTAGTGATCTCATTTGGTTTCGACTCCAACTCAGATGAAGCATTTGTCTTCTGAGCTTGCAACACGAAGAACTCTACCAATAATGATGGCCAAACTTGTAAGCAACATAGTACACTTAATTTAAAGTTTCATGACAACATTTATATATGGTTACAGTCGTCAACTCAAGTGCTACAAGCCCTTTTTTTAATAAAGAACGATAGAAGGACTTCTTCAACATATTCCAATGCAGCCCATTTTTCTCCATTAAGTTCAAATTTAAGCAGTCTAAAACTTGAAACAAAATATTATATGTAAATGGCGTTAAATTTACAGTGTACTGTTCCACACAAGTAATTGATGGAACATCTTCAACGACACCTTCTTTCCAATTGTCATTAATTAAATCCGACATCTGACTTGAATCATGAGACATATCAGATTCTTCACCACTTAATAAATTTTCATCATCGGTTACATCAGGTTCATAATTGGTTATTTCATCATCAACAGTATTCGGTACATTGTCAACATCTTAATAAAAAAGATTGTAAAAAAAGAGAAAATGAAAGATGCTTTCTGAAAGATTTATTGCTTTCTAAATAACAAAAATGTTTTTGGTACTCACCACGTGAATTGTTCGTATTATTGGTCACAGGACTAACATCTTCAAAACTTTCATCACCTGCTTCACCAGTAGTCGATGATTCATCCATTTGTTGTTCTTTTACCCATAGACAAAGTGAGTTACATACTACCAGGCGTAGTTTGTGACTTAAGCAATGTAATCTTTTAGCTTTAAGTGATTTAAATGATTTACGAATGTTTGATGCACCATCGCATGTTATTATATGTGTTTTTTCATAAACTTATAATCTTTTTAGTTCTTTTTTAATGGTATAAGATATTTGTTCACCTGTATGTCGTTCTAAGGGGGAACAAACTGATTTCTAGTGGTAGAAATCAGTTTGAAATCAACGAAATCATTGTTATTAGATATATTTATCAATTTCTTAGAATTATCTGATATCGAATCAAAAGCAGCAAAAATATTGTAATTTTATTCAGTTTTGTTAACGTGGTGACAAAAAGTATGGTGTACTGGCGACAGATCTAGAGAATCGTGTTCTTTTCGAGTAAACTGCACATCTTTTCTACTCATATTCATCATTCTAGCAAATAGTTAACGAAATAATTAATGCAAGTGGTTTATATAGTTACATATACGAAACGTGATTGAAATGAATCCAATTACTGTTCAACGTCAATATCTAGGGATTTTTCTATTCTGTTTCTTTTTGTATATGTTCTTTCTTTTTATATAACTGACGAAAGGACAGACATGTTTGTTTCCATTCATTTCTATCTTCGTCTTCACTAACAAACACCATCTTTCTGTTCATTTGATTCTCTTCACATTTTTACTTTCAATTGAGCCATTTTAAAATATGTCCAACAAAAACAATGTTTCACCAGACAATGTTATGGAATTTGAAGATGAACGTTTTTTCGAATTTGTGAGAAGTTTTGTCGGCGAGAAGCTAGCTACTCTTCTCGAGTATCAAGATATTAATAGTGTACATTGTCTTTTAGCAGCTGATGATCCTTTCGAAATTTTATCATACGACTCAGATGATTTACTTGATTTGAAGAAGAAAACATGTATAAAATTAAATACTAATGCATTTTCTGTTTTACCAGGCATTAAGAGTAAGATGATATTATTAAAAAATGCATTAATAAAAAAACAAAATGAGTTAAAAAAAGAAACAAAAAAAATGTCTTCAAATATTCCTATGTCAAATAATATATCCTCTATTACTTCAACAACCAATTATTCTACTATTTCTGTATGTTCATCTGTGCACAAATCAGTAAATAATTCTTCAATATCTGCCATCAGTACAAATTTTGAAGAAAAACTTTAAAAAAACTTAATTAATTCACTTAATTGATTGGTTTAGGGGGCCCCCCTCAGAAACCAACTTTGTCATTTCTCATCCGATTTCAACGAAAATTTCAGAGAGTGTTAGTCTTGACTATGGGAGACTGTGGTTAAAATATCTCCCCAAATCTCTGAGAAACGAATGAGTTACAGTCAATTTATTGGTCAAAAGTACCTTCCATGCGGGCATGGTTTTCGATATAAGAATATTGGCTAATCATGTTGGCGTGGTGTTTAACTTGTAGAGTGCCCTTAGGGCCAGATCCTCACGAGCTCCGATTTTTAAATTTCTCTTTGTTTGATTTTGAAAAATACTTTTTCGAAAAATGTTCAAATTCAAAGCGCTAATAAAAATGAAATATCTAAGTTTTTTATTTTAGTAAAGGAGAAATTTAAAAATCGGAGCTCGTGAGGATCTAGTCCCAACTGCCTGCTATACAATAAAAACAAATTATCACTTCTATATTGAGTCGTTATTAAGAAATCCTTGCCCGCGTAAACGGTATGGTCGAAAAAATTGATTTTGAGAAAAACGGAGAATAAGTTTTTAAAAAACCTTATTTTTTTCAATATGGGGTTCAGAAAAACCTATGTAATATCTTTAAATCTCATCATAAAATCAATCAACTATAGTGCATTCGAGAGTAGACACTTTGCTCTATCTAATGAGTTATAAATCACAAAATCGATAAATTTGACCAAAATTGACTTTTCTGAGGGGGGGGGGGGGGGGAAAAGCAAGCAAAAAAAAAAAAAAT